CAGGTAATGGGAAAAAAAATAAGAACCAAGATATATCATGTACAGGTACAAACACCCAATGATAAATGTAAACAAATTGAATACCTAAAATGTACCAATAAAAGAACTAAAAATAAATAGATAAATAAATAAATAAACACAATCTCATTTGGAATCTAAAATGTGAAACTCATAAAAGCAGAAAATTCCTACAAAAAGGGGGGTATTAGGGTTGGAGGGGGCAGAGTGGGTGGTGTATGGCCTCAGGAAGATGTTTGGTTAAAGGATACAAAATTTGCAGATGGGAGGAATAAATTTAAAAGATTTACTACAACGTGGTAACTGTTATACTATATTCTTTTTTTTTTGTTTGGCACCGGGGATCAAACTTGGGACCTTGTGCTTGCGAGGCAGGCGGGAGAACAACTGAGCTAAATCCCTGGCCCTGTTATACTATATTCTTGAAAGTCACTAACAGCAAATTTGAAGCATTCTCACAAGAAAATGATAAATATATATGATTTGTCAATTAAAAATTATATAAATGTTAAAAACTCTCTGGAATGTTAATCTACAGGACAACTGAGAGCTGAGTACAATTACTTGGAAATGGTTTAAGTGCATTCACCCAACACTATGTGTTGGATGTCTAGATTCCAGGGTGCTGATACTGAGAGCTGATGGGTCCTTTAAGAGGCGGGGACTATTGGGTGTAAAATACCAGCACTGGGGGGTGGCTGAGGCAGGCCTGCAAGTTCACAAGCCAGGCTGACAACAAAGACCCTGCTCCCACCTAAGAAATGAAAGGAGGAGGAGGAGAGGAGAGAGAAGAGATAAGGGAAGGGAGAGGATGGGTAGGGTGGGGCCTAGCAGGAGCTCCTTAGTTCAGTTTGGGGTGTGCCTTCCAAAGCTCTGTGAAACTCTAATCCCCTGGTGAAGAATCTATGGCACCCATGCCACAGCAGGCTGTTTGTTTCATTGAAAGCTCTAAAAGGTTTGCCATCACTGCAGTCTATTCTTTCTGGTTTCCTAAACTCTTCCTCATCAGAGGGCTCCCTCTACTGTACCTGCCATAAGGTGACATAACCATAGGGGGCTCTTCACCATACCCTGCGCCATGCTTTTTAAGACTATGAACCTTTAAAACTGTAAACTAAATAAATCCGCTTTCTTTATAAAGTTAGCCTGCCCTGGCCATTCCATTACAGTAACAAAAACAAACACATTGACATATAAACATTATTGATCTTCCCAACTATTATTAATATGCTCCACATCTCTATTTAGGCACCTTATAATTTCAATGAAGTTTTATACTTTTTTACTGCTGTATCTAGCACACTGATTTATGTCTGAATATTAAACCAACCTTGTATTTCTAAGATAAACCCCACTGGACCACAGCATATCATCCTTTTTATATACTACTGGATTCTATTTCCTTGTATTATGTTAAGGACTAAAATTCATGAGGAGATCCTTTGCTAATTTTCTTTTTCAGTAACATCTTCACTTTAATTTAAAATCAGGATAAATGCTGGCCTCATAAAATGAAATAGGAAGCATTCTTTCATCCTTTCATATTTCTTTCTTCTTCCTTTTTTCCCTCAGTTCTGAGAGAATTAAACCAGGGTCTCACATGTGCTCTGCCAAGTAACTGAAGTGCTCTGCCACTGTACATCCTACCACTGCAGCTTTTATTCCCTTATTTTCTCAGTTTGTGTAGACTGGTATTGTTTTGTCCTCTAATGTTGGACAGAATCCTCCAATGACGTCATTTGCTTTCTTTTGTTTTTCTTTTTTGGTACCGAGGATCACGCTTGCACAGCAGATGGCGAAACCACTGAGCTAAATTCCCTGGCCAGTCATTTACTTTCTTTATGAAAAGATTTTAAATTGTGAATTCAATTGTAGACCTTGAGCTAACCGGGCTGGGGATTTAGCTCAGTGGTTTCACCGACTGCCTCGCAAGCGCAAGGACCTGAGTTTGATTCCCGGTACCACAAGAAAAAAAAAAAAAGAAGAGGGTTGAATTTCATTGGTTGCAGGCATCAAGTTATTCTACTCCCAAGTCTTCATTTGCAGTCTGACACAGAGCTACCAACACTTGTCTTCATGACTCCATTTTGATAATTTGTATTTTTTTAGGAACTGTGTCCATCTCATCTATGTTACAAAATTTGTTGGCATAAACTTATTTACATTCCATTTAAATACCTTTTGCAACATGCTGAAATATACTGATTTAATCAATTTAACTAGGCTTCTAAAATATATCAAAATATGTTTTTCAAATAATCAGGTTTTGGTTTTATTGTTTTTAATCTACTCTATGAGTTTCCCTTTTCACCTATTCTTTCATTGATTTCTACTCTCATTTTTTAAACTTCTATTTAAATTCGGTTTAATTTATTCTTTTTCTAGGTTTTTATGGTAGATGCTTAGATCAATGATTTTGGACCTTTCTTCTGATACAAGCACTTAGAGCCTTAAACTCCCCTGCTGCACAACTGTAGCTCCGCCCTTTGATGTCTAGTAAAAGGTTCAGATTGAGCTTTATGGGCCTAAGCTGTTCCCTTCCCCCAACAGGTGGAGACAGGAAAAAGCAGCAAGAGGAATATGAAAAAGAAAACTCAAAACCAAGGAAATCATTCTAAAAAATAAAGTCCTCCTATACTTAGGCTATACATACAGCAAACATTTCCAAGATGGAGAAGCAGCAGCAATTTGGATTAAAATCACTGCAAAATAGTACTCAGAAAATGTTTTACACACTATCAATTCAACACAAACCTTTTTTCCCCTGGACATAAGAAAATAACATGCCACTAGAATAAATTGCGACATTAATGTTAGCAAAAGTATAAATAATGATGTTAAGTGAAGTAAACCAGACACACAAGCTGAAATATTGCATAGTTCCTCTTATTGAGAAACTCAAAATATTAATAAAGAGAAAAATAAAAGATAGAAAGTAGGGAGACAGTTCTTTCTCAAATGGTAAGGGGATCAAGAAATGGAGGGCTGGGGATTTTTTTTTTTTTTTTTTGGTACTGGGGATCGAACTCCAGGACCTTGGGCTTGCGAAGCAGGTGGTTTCAGCGGAAGGACCCAAGTTTGATCCCCGGTACCAAAAAAAAAAAAAAACTGGAAAGAACACAAAGACATGCTTTAGCCTCTGTTCATCCTTCCTTCCTTTTGCTTTTTGAGACAATGTCTTGCCTTATAACTCCAGGTTATATGCAGCCTAGTCTGGCCTCAAACTCACAATCCTCCTGCCTCAGCCTCCTCTGTGCTGGCATAGACATATACATCCACCTTCCTTTTTCAAATATACCACTCACCTTGCCTCCAATCACAACTCAGTAATCACAAATTTTCTCAAATACACATTCTTACATTATGTCCCAATTTAACTCATTAGGCAAAAACAAAGTTAATGTCCCAGTTCATTAACACTTCCATGTGGATGAAACAGAGAAACACTGATAAGGCCAGCTATAAAACCCAACCCTAAAAGGCTTGTCTCAGGAAATGTAATACATACTTCTTCATAAATGAAAACTAAATGTGAATTTTAAAGCTCTACCATTAAACCACTGTAGCTTTCATGCCAAGCTCTTCCCAAAAGAAATGTTCCCAAATTTTTGATAAAGTCTAGAAGTACTCAGAGGCCCAAACATTAAAAAGGAGACACAAGTAGAAGTAAGGGAAAATGGGGATCTTCCAAGTATTTACAATTTTGTGCTAAACAGAACAGTTACTTTCTAGGCTGTTCTCAATTTCAGCTACTTAGCACAATCACTTTTGGGGATGCTTTAAAATGAGGTGCTAAGGCTATCCCCAACTAGGCCCTTTGAGGCATAAGGACCAGGTAGGTATCTGTTCAAGGGTTGTAAAGCTCCTTTAGTAATTAAGATGCATGGCCAGCCAGGCCTAAAACTATGAAGTTAGCAGCCTACTACCTAGGCTTTAAGAAAATCTGACCTTAATCTGCTGTCGCCGCAGCATGGCAAGTTCCCTCATGTCTCTGAACGGCTGCAGTAAGTACTGGTAGAGCTCAGTTGTGGCTTCAGCAAGGCTACTGTAAGCCTCATCCTCCAGGTGATACAAGTCCAGAAGCTCCACCATGCTTTCGGTATTCTTGTGCTTATCCAAGAGCTGAAAAAAAAAATGTTTCAATATTAACAAACCGAATTTTATAACTGATAAAATACTGCACTTGCTTTGAACTTCCCTGCGGTCATTTTAGGCCCTTGGGCTCTTAATACACAGAAGCAGAAGGAACTAAAAGCACTGACTGCTTTTACCACTAATTCCCACGCTCTGAGCATCTCACTAAAGATCCCAGCCTGATTCATTTGAACGTGAGGATGCTCCATTCTCCTGGCCAAGTTTAACCCTATAACAAACACTGTTCCAAACATATGGAAAACAACAACTTAACAAACCATTTCATTACTAATTCAAAGTAACGCATCAGCTCTTCCTTCCTAATACTACTTTAATAATTCCCAAATTCGTGTCACTCTTTCTTCATGCCAATTTGGAACTTTCCTTTGATAACTTTCTTCAATTTATGTGCATCACCTCCCTCAAGAGGTGATTGACACACAAAGACTCTTGTATTTAAAGGTAAGGTGTGAACCCTTCAGTTTTTTTGTTTGCTCGTTTTTTGGGAGACAGTCTTGCTGTGTAGTTCAAGGTGGCCTTGATCTCACTTTGTGGCACAGGGTGGTGTCAAACTTGTGAAGATCCTTTTGCTTCAGCCTCCCAAGCACTGGGATTACAGGTGTGCGCCACCATACCCAGCTTTATTTTCAGTTTTAAGAAAATATTTTGAGGCCACTACGTTCTCTCTTTCATGGTGGCCCGCTCTCACCCTGCAGGGTGTACTTCTTTTCCTACTTTTATGTACTTGGCCCAAACTAGCTCTGCAAAGCCTGTTTCTTTTTCTACCTTTAAATAAAACTTTGCTGTTTGTGCTTGTCTCAACCAATTCTTTGCTCAGGATGGAAAGAGCCTAGAAACCACCTCCAGAAGGAGATTTCGGCACCCTAAAACCTAGTAACATTGTAACACTGTCTTTAAAAAAAATTAAACAAACAAAAAACCAAGGTACAGCAGCACATACCTCTAACCCCAGGAGGATTCTACTCTGGATGCAGAGGCAGGTTGAAGATCCCAAATTCAAGTGCAGCCTGAGCCTCTGAGCAACAAACCACAAATCCAGGACAGAACATCAAGCAGGATAACCCTTTTAAAAAACCCACATAAATATTTTGCTTCAAAGAAAAAAACTACCCACACCTAAGGTTAGAAGGGAAAAAGTCACTTTGTCTATAGAACAGCAAAGATTAAAAAAAACAAAAACAAAAACAGGATTCTTCTCAGAATCCAGGCAAGGAAATGAAAATAGTATTCAAAAAAAAATAAATGCCCAACCTAGAATTCTATATTCAATGAAATTATCTTCAAAATTAAAGTAAAATTAAGATTTTCTCAGATAAATATAAATTGAGAGGATTTGTTGCCAGTAGGCTTGCTTTCCAAGACATGTTAAAAATGTTTTTTCTTGGGCATAGTGGTGAACCAGTAATCTAGCTACTGGGGAAGCTGGGGTAGGAGGATCAAAAGTTGAGTCTGGGGATGGGAATTCAGCTCAGTGGTTTTCCCACCTGCCTCGCAAGCACAAGCTCCAGAGTTCAATCTCTGGTACCAAAAAAAAAAAGTTGAGTCTGGCCTGGGCAACTTGGTAAGAACCAATTTCAAAATCTAAAAGCAGTTAATTTTTAAAAGGGTGGAGATGTAGCACAATGGTTGAGCGCTTGCCTGGCATGTTTTTTTTTTTGTACAGGGGACCGAACTAGGAACCTTGCGCTTGCGAGGCAGGCGGTATAACCACTGAGCTAAATCCCCCCTCACCCCCCGCCTGGCATGTTTAAAGATGATCCTGGATTCAGCCAGGTGTGGTGGCAAATGCTGCAATCCCAGCACTCAGCTGAAGCAGAAGGCACTTAGGAGGCTGAGGCCCTATCTCATAACAAGACCCTGACTCAGAATACAAAGAACAAAAGATCCTGAATTCAATGCTCAGTACTACCACTGCAAATGGATGAAATAAAAATTTTGATAGAAGAAAAATACCCAACTTGTGGTTCAACCCATTTCAAAATATAAAATTTTTTAAAAGAAAAAATAATTTAGGCCTGAAACTTGGACCTACATGAAAAAATGCTACAAAAGGAACAAAATGAGCATAACTTTTCTTTTCCTTAACTGATTGAACAGATAAAGTTAAAAACAGTAGCACACGCAAGGCCTGGTGGCACATGTCTGTAATCCTAGCACACTAAGAGGGTGAGAGAGGATTAAAGTTTGAGCCCAGGCTGGGGAACTGAGTATCTAGCAAACTCCTGCCTCAAAATAAAAAATAAAAAAAGGACTGGAGAATGTAGCACAGTGTTCAATCCCCAGTACCAAAAATAAACAAACAATAATACCAGACACAGTGCCGGGCACCTGTAATCCCAGCACTGGGGAGAATGAGGCAAGAGGATGGCAACTTCAAGGCCAGCCTGGGTTACTTAGTGAGTTCAAGGCTAGCCTCAACTACATAGTGAGTCCCTGTCTCAAAAAAAAAAAAAAGTTTTATCTATAGATCTCTGTATTTGTGACTTCATCTGAAAGATTAAAATTCCCCACTGGTGAAAATCAGAAAGACAATAGCCAGAATAACTAAACTGCTTTCCTGCATGTATAAAAGCCTTGCTTCTTTCCTTTGTGATTGTTGAATAGTGCCAGAGGAATTAAACTGCTGTTCCTCCCCCAGGCTGTCTCCTTTTCTGTCTTTAAAAGTCGGTGCTTTCCGGGGTTCCAGGTCTCCCTCAAGAGAGAGCAACGACACCCACTGTTATGAATGGCTGCCTTTAAGGAGAACACAAGAACAAAGGAAAAAAAAAAAAAAGAACAAAGGAACCAAAGAGGGGATGAAGATAGATATATTACACTTATCCTCTCTCTCTAGTTTTGTTTGTTTTGAGACAGGGTCTCAGTCTGTAATCTAGGCTGGCCTAAAACTTAAAAATATAGCCCAGGATGGCTTCAAGCTTGCTATATACTGTTGTCTAGGCTGCCCTGAACTTGGATTCCTCCTGCCCCAGCCTCTAGAGTAACAGGATTATAGGAGTGTACCACCACACCTGGCTCACCTACACTTTTTATATCATCACCCATCCAGTAAACACATATACATTTTTAAAAAGAAAAGTTTTATACTCCATTTCTTCTCCACTTCCCCAATCCAAAGGTATTCTTGTTTACACATCAAAAAAAAAAAAGAAATTAAATTATCCCCTTCACTATAATATCTAACAACTTTTCCAAAAGATGAGCTATGAGAAGTCTGAAAATTTTAGAACTTTCCCTGTTATCAAAAGTGATAGGATTATACCACTATTATTCAGAAGCGGCTAAAGTCAGATGTGGAGTCTTGAAGGTAGTGCCTACTGTGAAGTGATCACTTTCAAATCACAAAGCTTTTCTCTGGTCCCAGAAATCAGTTCCAACTTGTCAGGTAAAAGGGCCGAAGACCAAGACCAGACCAGGCCACAACAAGCCTTTATTAGGGGAATAGATCTGCCAGGCTGTCTCTGAACAAAGGAGAGACAAAAGCAATATGGCCGGGGCAGGGAGAGTCTTTTATAGAGACTGGGGTGGGGTTTGTAGGGGCTGAGGTGGGGTTGAGTGAGGTAGTGACTAGGGAATGGAGGAGCCGGTGATGTCACTAGGTGGTAGGAGGTGAGCGAGTATTAGGTTACTCTCTAGGCGGGAACAGGGGCATGCTGGGAAGAAGGGTTTATTCTTTGGTGGGAGCAACCATCTTGGCATGATGTCACACAGGGGAGGGGGCAAGGCAGGATAGGAAGAGGGCAGCTACTATACATAATAGCTGCTGAGGTGGTGGGAGACCTATCACAACTGGAAGTCAGGGTGCTCACCTCCACCAGGGCTGATCACCTCAAGGCCACACACAGCACATCAAAAGTAGAGCAAATATATGAAGGACAAATAGAGCAGTGTGCTGACTCATGCATGTAACAAGCTGTTGGGGAGGTCGAGGCAGGAAGATCTAAGGAGGCCAGCCTGGGCAACTTGGCAAGACATAGTCCCAAAATGAAAAGGGGGGAGGGGGGCTGTAGCTCACTGGTAGAGCATTTGCAGAATAGGTGGAAGGCCCTAGAGGTCAGCAATCCCCAGTACCACAAAACAAAACCCCAAAACAGGACAAGAAAACTAAAAAAACACATTAATGTGTAATACAAAAATGAATCTTTACAATGAATCATAAACTACCTTTTCACAGTTTTAAAGTCAGTAATTCTCTCTTTGCAAGAAAAAGTATATTCACAGAAGTCCTTTACCTTTTATTCTACTTGAATAATGAAACTTTCATTTTCTTAAACTGTTAAAAGAATAACAACAAAAAGCTAGTAACATGTCCCAATATAAACTTCCCCTGAGTCATTTAGAAGTAATCAAATGCCACAATTAAAAAGAAACCCTTAGGCGAGCCAGGGATTTAGCTCAGTGCTTCTGCAGCCTGCCCTGAAAGGGCAAGGACCCGAGTTCGATCCCCAGTACAAAATAAAAAAAACACCCCACCCTCAGGGGGAAAAAAATGAAAAACTCTCTGATACCTCTTGAAGCTCTTCTTTCAGAGGCACTAAAGTAAATGTAATATAGACAACTGATGCTATTTCCTGCCAAAACAAAATATCAAGTCACCATATGCTTATTAATCACAATAAACTCTACACAAATATGTGCAACAAGAAAATCAGCTGTTTTCAAATATTAACCTGTTATTTCCCACATGCCTTTTATCCTCAGACAGAATAGTACTGAACAAAGCTATTGTGCACCAACTAAACTTAATACTGGAAGCTCAGGACATCTCACCTACCACTGCTAATTTATTAACCTGTCTTTGCTATAGTTTCATGTTTTTTCAATACTAGATTATTTCTAAAGCAATCATAACTTCATTTGGCCCATCTATTTTAATCTAAATGTCAGGTAAAAGGGCCGAAGACCAAGACCAGACCAGGCCACAACAAGCCTTTATTAGGGGAATAGATCTGCCGGGCTGTCTCTGAACA